CTCAGTTATCTACTTTTGATCACTTTCGTAAAGATAATCAATTCTGAAATCTTTTATTAATATTTATATTCAATCTTTGAACATTTCTTTGTATTTGTTTTAAAGTTAAGAATGATAAATATTTAAAATAGCTAGCGATTCTTTCTCGCTTCACATTTGCCTCCTTGGCGTTTATTACACGAAATTTGATTGGCTAACGATCGAAGTTCGTGATGTATGGAGAATTTGTATTTTGATATGAGAATCAAATTCAAATAAAGATTTATTTTCTTGCAAGTGATARTGTTTTACTGTAAAGTAAATCTTAATCACCATGAATTGTGGGCCTGTGGTAGACACATGCCGTGAGAGACTGGACAAGAAGCATGGTGTGAGTGGAGAGAGAGAACGGCCATTTTTCTAGTTGTTGTAAATTTATTAGACAAGTGAGTGAAAATAGGTCATTTGTGGAAATCCTGGGCCACGGAATAAAGTTTTTTGGATTGGCTGATTTTGCAGCTAACTGGATTATGTTAATTGAAAAATAATTATACCTGACAGTTGCTGGAAGTGTTCAGAAAACTTTACGGCTGAGTCTAGGGATCTTGTAGACCAAAATATTGTGTAAACACCTACCACATGTTTAATGGTCTTGCTCATCGTCTTTTTCATTTCTGTTTTAGTTTTCGCTTCACTTCGGCAACTGAAGAACCGCTCTAATATTTTCTTTAGATCGGCTGGCTCATTTTCCTCAAATCATGTCATAATTTGTTGTCACTATTTCTTCCGATATATTCAGCCGTTACGATGTAGTTTTACTTGTGTGTTTTTTGTTTGTTTTTTGTTTGTTTTTTTTTTGTTTTTTTGTTTTTTTGAACTGTTTTTTAGGTGTTTCATAGTAAAGTCTGTAAAGTCGTTTCTTTTACCTTAAATAAAATGGCTGCCATTTCCCCCCCTCGATTTGCTACATGTGCAAAGAAGGGAAAACGGCCTCCTATTTTACGTATGGAGAACGTTATTATTTTATTAAGACTATTTAAGGGAAAGAAAAGCACTCTACACTTAAATTAAATTTAAATGGTAAATTAAATGTTATATCGTTTCGTTCCGTAAAGTACTATAAGCCGAAGTTGTTTACCTAATTTGAACCAAGAATAATTATTTTTCAATCATTGGACCACAAACCTAGCGTATTAAAAACGTTTTTTTCGTTGCCTGAGAAGTACATCGTCCTATTTAAACAAGGATTGCTGTAAAGGTTTAACGCCTGTACAAGAGTTTTTAAATTGATACGGATAAAAAAGACGAGCGCCGCTCCTACAAGCTGAATGAAAACAGCAACGCAAAACTATTTTAAGGACGGGAGGAAAAAAATTTATGAGGTAGAGAGACTCAGTGGTAGCCGTGGTGGATATGCAAGATAATAAAATGAGTTATTCCATAGCTTATATCATGCTTATATAATGCATATTATTTCAGCAGCTTCAATCACAGGCAGCCCAAACAAGGTTGCTGTGTATGGTAATGTATGGGAGTTATGATAAAGTCATGACAATAAAATGTTTCATTCAACAATTTGCCTCAAAACTTGCTGCAGTTGTTGCTTTTACTTTGTTCAGTCTTCTGGCGACGTTTCAGCGCGATTTGAGGCCGTTTAGTGTTTTTTATTTTCAAAATCCGCTCTTCTCTACCTAAATAATGGGAAGGCTGGAGACTTAGCACCCGATATCGACTACATCACGCTAGAAAATTTWAAAAAAAATCTCTCTCTCTTCCCTCGAATCGCAATAAAAATGCAACATATCAAAGGAACGATAATTTCTCTATTATGACATGTATTCAGAATGCCACCACGCCATACCGCCCGCTCAAACAGCCAGTCAGAACTCACGATTTTTTAGGATACCGGATCGGAAAAAAATAAGAGACTGTATGTTCAAAACCTACAAAAACATGCGTTTTCAACTGTCTTGTCGATGTCTTGTTCTAAAGTCTAAAAGTACAATGGATAAGGGGTTTGAAATTCTTGTTGGTTGTTGTCTTATTAATCTGCTATGGAAGCAGCTTTGAAAGCCCTAGAAGATATTTGAAAACTTCGCTTTAGAGGTAAAATATGTCATATCAGCAATACAAAGAAGTTTTTATTCCCTTTTGAGATTACTTTAAGTAGTCTGTATAAATGGCAGTAGTCGGCAGTGAATCTAGTCCTTCACTGTGTCGCTCTTGTTAGTCAGATAACTCCGGTAGGTTTTATTTTTACCTAGTAAATTTGAATGACAAGCTCCTAATATACCTTGAGTATGAATAGTTTTCCAGCTTTTTACTTGTGTTTACTCAAGACGTTGTTTTAATCTATTTTCAATTTTGTCGTCACTTGCTAGTGCTGGAAGTATTTCTGCACTTAACTTTAGGTGGCTCAGTCGCTTTACAAGTCGCTTTTCTCGGACTCGGAATCACATTTATTGAAGAAACTTGAGGTCTATTTTATTATCTCCACTTTTAAAATTGTAATTTATCAACAATGACCCCTTAGATACTCATAACAAATAGTATATTCCTACACGTTATTCATGAATATACTTTCATTTACAAAAATAGTTTTTTCTTCAACATTGCCACTCATCTTCATGTTGCCTCAAAGGGCCTAGTACTAAAGCGAAAAAGTTTTCTAAAGGGATACGCACGATCTAAAAATAAGTTTTCGGAAATTCTGATATCGATTCGAACAATAGCGCGAGAGTTGTTTATTATTATAATTATTATCATTTGTATTGCGTCTGTTTCATTCAGATATGTTCTCTGTCCTTCATGGTTTCCTGCAATCATATAAACGACTTTTAAACAGGCTATCGAAAAACACTCTGGGTAATTTAAAAAGGAATGAAATAAAATTTCAACCGTGAACATGGAAATTGTATTTTTCTTTTTTTCTGTTTTCAAGATATTTTTCGATAACATCGTTTGTTGACAAAACTATATTTGTAAAAATTCCCCCCCACAAAATCTTTATATGTATATATTTTGCTTTTAATTCAATATTTTGTCCTTTAACTTTTCTTTACGTTTGTAGCGCTTCTATCGAAATTATGCCAAATAAGGTTAACACTTTCTTTAAATTATCTAAGGAAAGTAAAACATCATAGAAATTATGTCAGCAGTTTAACAATCGGCATAATGTGTAGGAGCATAATTTCATCTTCTACCAATTTTGTTTTGAGATTTGAATGAGTTTAATGGCCAGAAAATATATAAATGAGGACGAATCTGTATCCAATTTACAATACTTAAATTATGTCTTTAAAAAATGAAAATATAGTTTTATATATTCAAAAAAATAAATCGTAACTATCCCTTAAAAATATTTGTTTGATCTCTCCTAACTTATTTTTGTTTGTTTTAAGTGTTGTCGCATAAAACGACTATATATGTTGAGCATAAATATTTAAACAACAGAATACTTTGAGCTATACATCACTTTTTACACATTTCTTTTCTTTGGATTAAAATATAAATTTCGTCTAAAATTCGCTATCTTTTTCTTTCTTATAATTTTCTTTATGAATTGGAGTGGCCTATCAAACTGTTGCCATATCATTTTTCTTCAAAGAAGTTGTGCATTCTCAAAATGAATTTGTTCCATCTAAATACTTTAAAGAAAACTTTATACATTGTAATTGTGAAACCTCGAAAAAGAGTGCTTTGAATTTAGCTAAAAATGCATTTTCTCTTTGAAATTCGTTCGTTACCTTTGGGTTGGTTTGGCTGGGATGCCTGTAACAGCCCAGTCGTAGGAGTCCTTTGAAATTAGCTAAAAAAATGAATTTTTTTCTTTAATAGAATGTATTCCTTACCTTCGGATTGGTTTGGCTGGGAATTTGTCAAGGTCACTAGGATTTACTCGTAAAGTCTGGATTCAGCAAGTTGGAGTACAAATACAGTAGTGTATGTGATGATTACCGACACAGTAGTATATGATAAATACCGTACTATATGATACCGAGTTAGTGGGAGTTTACGTAATACATAAAAGGAATAGCGATACGGTTTCTATGGGATGTAACTGATAAATTATAAACGAAATAAATTATATGCATAAGATATCGCGGCCTGACTATGACAAACTATTACGACTGATTATAAATTATTGTGTGAAGATTTTAAAAAAAGGCTTTTTTTTTTCGTGAATTCTATAAAAAAATTGTCGCAAAGCCAAATATATCCCAGTAATAAGGTATTTTACGGCTGGACTATTACAGGCATCCCAGTAGTTATACACCTATTCAACAAAAAATCGTTGCACGGGACCGAAAACAAGAAGTTGACGACCGCAACATATGTTAGACTGTCTTGTAATTTACTCAAATCAGATTTTTCGAAATATTCACAAATCATCGCCATTTTCATGTGTGAATACCACACCTTGCATAAATATAAAACAATATTTTTTGTCTTTATGTCGCGTAGGTCTTTTTGGTATACCCCAGCTCGATATGAAACATTTAATATTGCCTGAAATATGTGTTCAAAATATATGAATAATTCATAAGCCTTTGGTCTAATTGGAGCGACCCTACACATCACGTGCATGGACCTTTATACCGATAAATGCCACTTCATTAGCCTCCTTTTAAAGATGATAATTCCAGGATAATAATTTTATAAAACAGTTCTCATTCTTATTTATATTATTTATATAAAGAATGTTAACGAGGAAGACTTTGCCAGAGATACATTTGCATCATGGAGCCTCATGAAGGTCAGTCTCTGTTACGATCACTGACGATCCACAAAATCTCATCGACTAGTGCCCCTGTCTTGAGATAAGCATGCTGTCTTCAGCTTGTAGGACATATTTTTGGACTTAGTAACGCATGGCAGTAACGCACTAAACACATTGCGCATGGTAGTGATGCACAAACCTCTATCGTAATAAAAAAGTCCAAGTTTGCGACGGTCATGGTCACTCCAATTCGGATCAGAGGCTTTTGAACTATTAAGATAAGTTTTCGCAGCTGTTCAAAAAACTTGCAGATCGTTTTTTTATCAGGTCTAAAAGAACCCTCCAACCCTCCAACCCTCCAACCCTCCAACCCTCCAACCCTCCAACCCTCCAACCCTCCATGTCGTTCACCTAATTATAAACACCCGATAAGACAATTTTACTCACACATGATAACGAGAAAAGATAGTAAACAAAATAAGCAATATTAAAAATCCAAACGAAACGGCAAAAATACGGTTTTATCAAGCTCAGTTTAATCATTTCTTGCATTGACTAATTTAATTTACATTTTCGTCTGGTGCCAGGACTTTCCTGACTGAACAGCTGCCTTTGCGAAGTTTCTTCAATCGACATATCTTTTGTTTAGATATTGTTTCAAAATGATTTTACACCATTTAAGCCGAAGGGTTGTCGTAGTAATAGTATATTTTATGTAAATTGGGGTTTCTTCAATCTTATCGACGGAGGTCGCTCAGTAATGAAAAGTCAGGCTTTTTTTCTTGTTCCGTTGTTGGACGTTCCTTTGGTCTTCTGTATTCTTCTTGACCAATGTTGGTGTTAGTTTTAGTGTTGTATTCCTGTCTTTCTTGTTCTGGTTGAATCTACAAGAATACAAGGAATTCGAATGTACCTCTTTAGATTCGTATGTAAATTGCCCTTTTCAGATCACATGACATTCCCTTGAGAATTGTTCTTTAATGACGAAACTATTTACAAAAAAAAAAAAAAAAAAAAAAAAAAAAAAAAAAAAAAAAAAAAAAAAAAAAAAAAAAAAAAAAAAAAAAAAAAAAAAAAATCAATTCCCAATATAATGGCATCAGATGTTCTGAAATGTGCACAACAATCAAATTAATGAAATCTTAAAACTGTTGCTTTAGCTATGTATAATTCATTTTTAATCATCCGTACAAAATCTACTTCAAACCTGAGGCAGAACAAAATTAACAAAGTTATATATATTTATTATATATATTTATGATATAGTATGCGCGCGCTGATTGGTACGTCGAAAACGGTGCTTAAGTGACCTCAGGCTCACTTCGCCTTCGGCGAATAATTGTTAATTACAAATACCTAATGGGTATCTTAAACAAAACGCCAGCCAACGCTTTGGTACTTGTAATCCCGCTTTGAATCCCGCGAGTCCATTACCCATAATGCACCCGATATAGTTATATACTATATACTTAGTGGAATCAGAATTTCTGCATATCGCTGTGTATATATATATATATATATATATAGGAAACCACTCACTAGTCAAAAGACTTTGAGAGCCATCCTCAACCACACGCGCCCTCTAGCGATTGTTTCTGTCGCGACTAATTAGGTTTTGGTGTACGGTCAATCATGGCGTTTCCTTAGCATTCAATAGGCACGTGCCCTTATCGCTTTGTGCTTTCCGGTTATGGAAGCGCCTTGTGATTGACGTCCAGCAAAACCTTCTTCGTCGCGGGGATCCCGGACAGAAAAAAAATCGCTCGAGGGCGCGTGTTATTGAGAATGGATGGAATAGACGTTTCGGCCTTATATCATGTACAAAATGTTTAAATTTTCTTCACATTCAATGAACCTATCATTGATTGACTTCGAGTCCTATTTCAATTTGATCTAACTTGCTCGTGGCATGGTAGCTGGCGTTCCAATCTACTTCTATGTGTATGTATGTGTATGTATATCACATGTATATGCATTTAAAACACTCATTAATAATTCATAAGCTTATGGTCCAATTGGCGCCACAATACACGTAACGTGCATGAACCTTTATACCCGATAAAGTCCTCTTCATTAGTATTCAAGTGATTTTATATAAAGACACATGTGTCTTTATATAAAGACACATGTGATCTTTATATAAAGACCACTCGAATACTATGAGAGTGACTTCATTAGGGATGAAGTATGCATCCAAGTTTAGATGAAGACATAGAGCTTCATCAAGGCCATAGTCAACCCTAATGATCTTTGACTAACGTGCCTGTCTTTGCCTTGGCACGCAATATCCAACGTGTGGGAGCTTCTATTGAATCTGGTTGCGCATGCCCGTGACGTCAAATCTCTATCGAAGTATAAAAATCCATGTTCGTGACGTGTATGGTGGCTCCAGTTGAACCAAAATCTTATAAATTGTTCATGAGTGTTTTAAGCAGTTCAAAAAACTCGTAGATCGTGTTTTATCAGGTATAAAAGCACGAGGCTACGCCTCGTGCTTTTATACCTGATAAAACACTCCTACTCGTTTATTAAACAGTACATAAACTTTCATCCTTTCGTGCACATATAAAAGTATATATCAAAAGTTTCCCATAATTTGATTTGATACACTTTGGTTATAAAATTTTCAAAAAACGGAATAGATAATGATTTGAAATACTAAAGGGCCTGTGCGCATTAATCCTATTTCATTTCCATGATACGTTTTTGTTACATATATTATATTATTTCACATATTTTTAAATTATATACACCCTTCTCATAATGGCTGACAAGTGCATGAAAACGAGGTCACCCAGTCATTATTTCACAATAAAAGATAAAAAATTACATGAAATGACTTTAAAGAAGAAAAGTATAAAAAATGACATTTGTTTTGATCTGAATTAGCGCTAACAGCCTTTATTTTTAATGAGCAGCTTGGCTCAACCTTGCAAGATGACTGGGTGACCTCGTTTACGTGCGTTCATCAGCCATTATGAAAAGAGTGTATGTTGTCAGTATTCGATTAAATAATTCGTTTATCATACATTCCCCAAATAGTGAAAAAGAATTGTCAGTTTGAAAATCATTACTTCTCTTCAGTCTGCAAAATAAGATTTTCCATTTGAAATGATATTTTTTGGCGGTATGTAATCTCATTCTGGTTTTTTTTTTTTTTTTYCTTYTTYCTGGGTGTAGTTAAGTCACAGATTGAACCCAGAAAAAGCCTCTAGTTGATCTAAGTCGGGGCAAGGGTACCTTACAGTGTTAACCCTAAAACAATGTATAGGCTGATCAAAGTCAGGGCACGGATTACTCACAGATGCATGGAACCTAAAAACAACCTAGTTAGCTGATGCAAAAAGGGCGGAGGACGGAAAACCATTGTACCTGGAGAAAAACCCTAGAATTGATATTGAAACCACTTACTTGAAGTAGCCTTTTTAAGAAGAGGTTCCTCTTGCGCTTTCGACATCCTTTTCTTCTTTTCCACTCGATACAAATCTGCCTTGGATGGAGCCTTTCTTCGTCAGCCGAGACAGCTTTTATAGGAAGAGACTGATCACTCAAAAACGAGTCATCATGATCACTTCTACTGAAGCTTAGTAACGATAAAATCAAAATTACTAAAGAGCACAGTGAAACTAATCGACAAACCATCTTGAATCTGAGGGCAGGTTGGAACAAACCTTTGCTGTAGTGTAGTGGAACTGTCTTTTTCTCCCTTTATATTAAAAACCCCGGCACACCTGCTATAAAACTGGGAGTATTATGACACGTTTATGAAGGTGGGCCAGATACAATGCCTTTTGTTTTCTTAGAGATATTCTCTCTTTGTGTTAGTCTTATCCCGAGGGCTGTTCTCCGTTACGATTGTTTAGATTAAAAATTAGCTTTTAAGTATTATGAACTTAGCAAAGAGTACAGCTAATAGTAAAGAAGTTGAATGGGCTTAATGGTTTTAAGTAGGTATTTTCGGGAAGATCTTAATGTAAACTACGTATGCAATCGAATGTCAAGCTGTGAGAGGAAACCTTTCTAACTGGGAGTAAACGCAACGCCGAGATAATGGAATAATTCCTCTTAAGAAGGTAAAATCTCAAATCTCAAATATTGACTCAAAAGTAGATCTATTTGTATTATAGATATAGGGCTTTAAATATAATTTGAATGCCTTAATCTGGAATTATAGTAAATCACATTAATAGAAACAGTAAATATATCGATAAAATGAGAAGCTTAAGAATTAGAGAGAGAGAGAGAGAGAGAGAGAGAGAAGAAAGGTGTGAACAAAACAGCCTTCTCAGAAACCATGCATGAAGTTTAATAATGGTGGAATAAAAATTGAACCGAATATAATGCACAGCCTTATAGTGAATTTCCTCATACAAAAGTCAATAAGTCAGAAAAAAGGAATTCAAGAATACGAAACTTATTTTTTAATTTCGAAGATAGAAAAGTGACACCTTACGAAATAAGGATAGGATATCTAATATCGAATATCGAAAACGCAAACGCAAACACAAACGTAGCTAATTTAATTGTTTTTTCACGCCGTTTAAAGACGATGAGAAAATTGCCAGATTTATCCGGTTTTCGTTTACTATGTCAAGTTAACATTTGTTGGCAATTTTCATTTTCCATTTTCACTATCTTAAACACAAAATCTCATGAAGTTGTCGTTCAGGAATAAATAGGTAGTGTCAAATACGGCCAGTAAAGTTGTAAATGGATGAAGTCGATTGAACTTATTTCTAACCGTTAACTGTTCTGCGGTAGGTTTACTCTTAAAATAGCAAACATTAAGAGTAAACTTACTGCTAAGCTTTTAGCCGTTCTACGTCAAGTTCACTTTTAACCTTTTAATTTTTATTACTAAATAAGTATTTGACCGTTATTGATACTATCTATATATTCGTGATCAAATATGAAATATCAAGCATTATATTATATTTCTTCGTTTACTGGCCACAACAAAACAAAAACAACACAACAACAATGATAAAAAACAGACAAGCAAATAAAGATCGTTAGCAAACAGTTCTTATATTTTATCTTGCAAAATGAAATAAAATATTTGTATTTTGTATTTGCATTTATGTCCCCATTTTTTTTTTATTCATTTTTTTCATTTATTTATTTCTTTACTTCACGTCTTTATCCATGAATCCATCTATCCATTCATTCACATGTATGGTCAAGGTGGTTTTAGTGGTGTGTGATGCGATACGATTGCTTAGATGGCTGCGTTGTTGTATCAAACAATCGGAATAAAATTTAAAATGTTTCTTTTTTTGGTGGTACAGAACTGAAAGGCTGCACATACTGCTAATAATAACCATCCAAATTATTCCATGTTATATTAAGTAATATTAAGGTTTTTTTGTATTGCTATATCATGCTTCTCCGTAGTATTTCACGGTATTAAATATGGTAGCTATTATTTACAATGCTGTGATTCAAACGGTCTTATTTCGTGTTTGGTTCAGGGCAGCGAAATAACTCAAACCATTGCATACCTTGAGATAGGAACATAGTAAACGCGATGAATATGATTTTATTATGTTGCAATTTCAAGATGAAAAAAATAAAAACATAAGACAAAGTTGACAGACACTCTATTGCAATGCGACTGTATCCAGGAAAGCGCTTCATGTACGTGCTAAGAATCATAAATTTATGTTTRAATCGTTTGGGTTAACAGAAAGCTTTTTGGTGCGTTATGTTCGAATGAATTTGTTGCAATTCAAAGTTCTAAAAGCCATCTAAAATATAATAAAAATA